AATAACTTATCTTGTTTTTTTTATTTAATTTTGATAAGGCATTTTGTGGGGACTTCCTAAAATTAAATAAGAGCTTTGATTAATTAAATAAAACTATTTCCACAAACTCTTCTTATAAAGTACATTTTATAAATTCATTCATAAATTCACTCAAATACATACGTATGGAAAAAAAGTTTATGAAGTCAGATAATTAGCTGATTTGTGATAGATTTATAAACTATTTTTGCCCTTTTGTTTTTTTCTCATGCAAATTATTACACAAAACTGTTTTTACAGTTTAAACAACTTTTCAAACCAAATATCTTTTAATTCTATATTGTGGATACAAATATTTTTTTATTTATTGTTTTGGGTTTTTTTACATCAAAATTTTCTTCTAATCCTTTTCTTTACCAATCACAAAAGTTGTGATAATAAATTTATATACAAGCTTTGTAAACTGTTTCATCACAGATTCTTTTTTTTTGTCAAAAATTCATGGAAGTAACTAGAATGTTGAAATAAAAATTTTCATTCCCAAATACTGAAATTTAACATGTTTATGTGGTTTAATAAAAAAATTTATCATCCTTCAGTATCATCATGTTAAAATTCTACCATATTTTTTAGTCTTTAGATAAGTTTAGATAGCTCTTAATGTCAAAGAAACAATTACAAAATAGTACTGATAATAAGAATAAAGTCCAAATATTATTTTATTACAAATATTAATACCACTGATTTTGAATTATCATTCTAAGATAGGTGCACCAGACAAGTCTAATAAACAATTAGCAAGCAGGTGTTTGATCCTCATGGGTGACTCAGTACTCTAGCTTTTTTACCATACCTAAAAAGATAGATCGCTTCACCTATTGCCTAGTTCATACTCCTTCCCCATTTATTAAACAGGAATAGAGGTTTATCCCTGGTTTTTGACCTTTAGGATTTTGTTACTGGTTCATTCTAAACTCTTTTTCTCTTTCACTTTCAGTAACCCCTTATTACTTTAGAGGCATTATCTATCACCTTGCTTGAGGAGAAATGATTAAAAGATGGTTAATGCAAGATTTAGTTGACTAAATTGCTAGTGTAATGAATTTGATCCTCATTGTTGCACTGGTAGTGTAGCCTTGTAAAAACAAGACTAAGCTGAACATCTATAATACTTTTCCTCAGAGCAGTAGAATCCATCAGCCTCTATTTTGATAAACAGAGTTTCAACTGACTGATTCAGTCATTTATCAACTCTTTTTAGGTTATTTAAAAAGCCAGAAAATATTTTCAGGTTGTAAGAATATTTTTGAGATAATAATAGTTTAGTGATGCAAGTCTTACTAATTAACCCATAGCTGGGAAGAGAAGAGGTGGACTCATACCTTTCCCAAAAGGGTATTAGAGCATAAGTGAATATAACAAACTCAATGGGAATTGGGACAGCTCTTCAATTAACAATTCTGAAGCATTATCCATTAAACTACCTTCAAATCCAAGCAGTCACCCTTCTAGGTACTGATTAGGCTCAAAGTTGCTTAACTTTGTTGATCATATAGAACTGGTGTTTTCTTAGCGTGATGTGATTGTAAGCCAGTTTCAATTGAAGACATTGAATGAAAACTGAGTATGTTATTACAAAAACTTAAAAAAAAAAATAAAATCATCTCATATCAATGGCTTTATGCAGAAGTTCAAAATCTTACATTCATCTACATTGAAAAAATTTTTCAATCAGAGATCTTATTCCTTTCCTTCAAATCAATGATTAAGAATGGATTCGAATGAATAATTCCTTTAAATTTTGATGATCCTACATGAAACCCTACAGACTGGCACTACAAAATCAATAGCAAAGATCTTTGTCAAATAATAAAATCCATATCAACCTGAAGATTTCCAACAGTAGCAACAACAAACATGTAACTAGAAGAGAAAATAACATAATCAAGGCATTTAATTTCCACACTACCAAAATCAAAAAACTTTAAAAGAAACTCCTATCAATACTAAAAAACAGCTAGAATAGTTAATGGACTTGAGAAGTCTAATTTTCCTGAAAAAATTTTGTAAACTTCAACAGTAACACTTTTTAACTGAATGCTAAATGTTTCCTTAATAGAAACAGTTCATTTCACCATTAAAAATAAATACAAGATAAACTAAACATTTTACTTGAAATTAAAATGAATAATAATTCAAAGAAAAACTAGAACAGTTGTTTCCTAAGGTTTGAAAAAAAATAATAAAAAATATCTCAGCAGATGCAAACACAAAAATACAACAATTTGAACTGGATATTTAATATTCTAATAACATAAAACTTGTTGGAAATCTTCAAAGCTTTGATATTTTATTCCATTCTTTAACTACTAGCAGAAACTGATTCTTTTGGACAAACCAAAAGAAAATTTGCATTAGATTAAATAAAGGGTTCATTTATTAAAAAAAAAAAAAAAAAAAAAAAAAACAACATTCCCTCATTAGGACTTTAAACTTTCATTTAAAAATGCAAATTTATAAAAATGTTTGGAATTTTGAAAAATTTTAAGAAAGTCTCTAAAAAATGCTATCAAAAATTTACTTGTTTATCAATGTTGGTAAATGTTAGAGTGGAATAAAAAAAATTACTATAAAAAAAGAAAATGATAATAGCAATACAATTATTGCATTTGTTAGACTGCTAGAAAATAGTAGTATATCAGACGTTATATGAACAGTATATGCCATTTTCCTTTCTAATGAGGTCTCAACTGTGCTAGAATTAAGAATTAATAAAAAAATTTCATTAATTCAGTTATTCCTTACATGAATGAGAATGATTTAGTTTAGTTAAATAAATGAATACAGACTTGCTTGGAAGTCTTCATGTTCATATGCAAAGTTAAAGGGGTAAAGAGGAAATAATCACAAAACTATTTGGTATGATTGCAACATGCAATCTCACAAATACTATTTTTTTGACAGATTCTTGTGAGAGACAACTTTTCAACAAACATACTAGCAGAAATAATTATTCTTGTTCAGTTTTAAATCTGTCTTACCATTATCATCTTGATATTGAACAATACCACCAAATACTGTGGTATCAATTATGTATCTTTGTGCTATATCAGTGTTTACTTTATTATTTCCTTCATCTACATTTCCTTTTATTTAAAAATCAAAGTTTCTTTATAAATCACTGAACAATTACAGCTGAATGAGAAAGCTTTATCATTGAGAATTGCTAATCATATTCTGACTAGGAGAGGCATGGTTATAAATTGATTATATGAATGAAAAATGATAAAATATTGGAATGTTCTCAGAAAAAATAGTTGGATAAAACTATAAATAAATTATTAGATCTTACTTCTTTACCATCAATTTTTACAGGGTACATTTTTTATAAGATTTGTTGAGGGATTCATCACTTTAGATGAGTTTTTAATGTTCCTGGTACATATGACCTGCAAACAATATTGGTGGAGTCCCGTGAGTCTGGGCGAAAATAAGAGACACAACATGGAATTTAAACAAACAAATATTAACAAATATATTGATAATACATTTTACAGCAAGGGAAAATGAGATTAAATGTGAACAGTTCAAAGCAAGCTTCAGTGTCTGTAGCTGAGGTACTTACATGTCAATGGGAGTGAGAAGAATACATCTTTTCACTATTAAAGTCACCAAGAAAAAAGAGAAGTTCTTTCAAATCTCGCACCACCTGTAATTATTGTCAGTGGGTAGTAATTCAAAATTTTGCTGCCTGTAATTATTGTCAGGGTCCAGTAATCCAACAGATTCTAAACTTTTTCAACTGATATAGCTAGAGTAGTTTAACTTTTTCTCTGGTAATGCAATGAATATGGCAGTGGATGCTGGACAATCTCTAAACAGTTGAGAAAGAGACATAAAATAACAAAGATGTGGTTCTTCCAATGAATGCTAAAAATATCATGGTCAGGAGATGTGAGCAATTAAGAACTCTTAAGAATATAGGAACTACAATGAAAATTATAATCAGAAAGAGACAGTTGAAATTTCAGACACATAATGAGGAAAGACAGTCTAGAAAACTTAGCACTCAAAGGACATATTGAAGACAAGAGAAACAAGGGAAAGTGAGTAACTTAGATGTTTGTGTTAATGGGTGGCAAAATGGAGACAGGAAGGGGTGATTATTTATTAGGTATTGATAAAATTTAAAAATGTTCTTGACTATTCCGTATTTTCCAGATTATGGAAAATGATTTGAATAGGGTAAAGCATTTTGATAATCTAGCCTTAATTAATCATTTAGTTTAATTTGTATATTTCAAAATAATTTTCAATGTATATCTAAAGTGAAAATAACATTCTGACTTCTGAGTTGAACAAAATACACATTTTAACAATAAAAATGTAAAAAAAATGACTTTGAATAAATTTTGGAAATATCATTAGAGGCAAATAAGACTTACCAGCATTTGGTCTAAGCACAGTTCCTCCCCCAGGTCCAGTAATGTTAGCTGTATTATTAGTATAATCCTTATTGCAAGCATGTGTTTGCTCAGATAATCCAGAGTCCATATTCCCACACTGTGGGCCATTATTGGCACCTCCTCCACTACATCCACCTCCTCCCCCATTAGCAGGTGAAACTTTTGGCTGGAGCCGGTTGAGATCAGAAATATTTTTTATACATAGTGGTGAAGTGTGAATTGCTTGTGCAGTTGCTACAGCAGCAGAGCTCTGGTTAGGAGCTTGTGGGGCTGGGGCTGGGGCTGCTACTGGTTGTGGTGGTGGTGGTGGCGGCGGCGGTGGTATCGGCATGTTAATTTGCATATTAGGTCGCATCACGGAGTATGACTGAGCAGCTGAAGGGTGTACCTGGGTAGTGGAAAATTGCATGATTTGAGTGTTTGGTGCACGGGGTGGTTGATTTTGAGCATAGTGAGCATAATTATGATATGGCACATACTGGCTGTGAGGTGGTGCAGCATTAGCTGTTGGACTAGAGCCAGTAGGCTGCCCAATGCTAATAGATGGGCCAACATTTAAAGGTACATTGGGAGTAGACACAGGAGCTTGACTAGGTGGGGTAGTAGGCCTATATGTTGCAGTGTTATTAAAATTATAACCCATTTGTGGGTTGGAAGCTGCAACAGTGAAGTATTGTGGAGTTTGAGGATTATAGCTATTTTGTCCATATGAGGGATAACTTGATGGACAAGAAGTATAACCTGATATTGCTGATTCAATCTGACCAACTGCTGGTTGAGGAGCATAGTTAGTGTTAGCATAACCATCAGAACTAGGCTGGGAGGTAACGGGTTGATAAGAGTAACTTGGCATGCCTGTAATAAAAGTTTGATGATACTGGCCAACATTTGAGGTTCCTGGTTGGCTATTCCCTTGGTTATCTATTGGCACTGTAGCAGGATTTTGAGTTTGTTGCTGACTTGATTGTAGAAGAGGAACTGGAAGCATGTAGCGAAAAGGTTGATTAGCAACACCAGGAGCAGTTGGGTAGCCCTACACAAAAAATGAAGAATTCTTATAAACATTATAAAAAAAAGTAAAATTAATATAACCATTTTATAATTTAATTAGATTGTAAAATTACAAAATCCAGAAAAAAAATACCGATTGAAAAAGAAATTGAATTTAGAAATTAATGCCAAAGTATTATTTTCTACAGAAAATTTCAGATTCTACTCTATAAGACGTTCTTTTATAAATTTTAAATTACTTTTAAAAATTAAATTAAAAAAAAATCATTATTCACATTTCTATCAATTATTAAATTATTTTAAAACATTCTGGAACTTGTGTCACTTAAATTGCAGTAACTTCATTATATTAAAACCAATGGAGTTCCTATCTGAGTTTTTGTTTAAAATTTCACTCCTTTTTAAATAATAATAAATTTGCACAATGAGTTTACAGTATTTCTGCACTGATTTTTCAGGTCACATAACTCTGAACCTATTTCTATTCTTCAAAAGCAAAATTTAAAGAAGAGTATATTGGAAACATTTCTTTTTTGACATATACATTACTCCATTGACTACTTAAAACATTGCAGTTATTTTCCAGAATAGACTACTACTATAAGATCTTATTAGTTAGTTAGCAAGTGTAAAAAGAAAAAAAAATAGCAATACATTTTTTTTAACCTCATTTTCAATTTTTATCTTCTATTTTACAAATTCTGTCTTTGTAACATATGGAAGATTTTGCCACAATTAATGGGTTAACCATTTCATCCAAGAAAGCAGCTAAATCAAAGCAAATTAATTAAACAGCTTTCTCAATTTACATTTTATCCTAGAAGTGGTGGATCAAACATCTTTAGTACAAAGCTTAATTCCCCTTCAGCATACTGACAGAAAATGAGCAATCGTATTATTAAAAAATAATAAAAAAAAACTGATTCCTCCTATTTCTATCATGGTGAAAATCCTTAATCTATTTATTTATTTAGTTTGCATTAAACTAAACTTGAAATGTAATAAAAATTACAAATTATATTCTTTTACCACATTATCAAAATTAGTTTCAAAGTTAATATTATTATGTAAAAAGAAAAACATTGAGCAATTCTTTTAATTCAAAGTATTAGCAGGAGATTAACTTTCTAATCCTGTAAAAATTGTTACATTTCCCTACACACAAACCACCAATCAGTAAACACCAGTGGCAGATTGGTGTTTACCGCTGTCAGATCACTGGTGTGTTCATCTCAGTAATGTTATCACTGGTGGACCGTTAGAGGTTCACTGGTGACAGCCACCAGAGGACCACTGCCACCAGCTGGCCACCAACGTCTTGCATGTAGGGTTGAAGATTCTAGATACACAAAATCAGACAACTAGTGTTATAACATTAGTTCTATATTTCTTTCTTTTATTTTTTTTTTAACTTTTATGTAAAAATCATGCTATATCAGATGCTATTTAAAAAATTATCTGAGAAAAAATTTAATAGTAAGAAATAGCAAAAAAAAAAAAAAAAAAAAAAAAAAAAAAGAAGGTATCTTAACATCTATTTTTAATATTTTCAGCAAAATTTTAGTTAAAATATGTAATTTTCATAGTTTTTATTAATTACAGCCATTTTCATTAATCAGTGATTAAATACTTTTTCCATAAATTCTCAAGTAGAAAAAAAAGCTGGTTAAAGATCATGTTTGTTTATACACTCTGCATTTATGGGAGTAGAATATTTAAAAGAAAAAATTAATAACAATAATATGTAAAAACTGTTCAAGCATCACTTTTTCATTTTCTTTTACAATGAAAATAAAAGCAATTCCATTTTCTATGAGTTATGGTAATTATATAAAAAATTGATATCAAACTGTATTTCTTAAATAAACAAGATCTATAAAAAATGTTTTTATTAATATAGTGGGAAACGAAAAACATTTCAATTGGTTAGCTGCATGAATTCAACAAATTTGTTTCAGTTGAGTTCTCTGTAAGCATCAATAAAGAAATAATGTACTTCAACAAATGATATGATATATTAAATTAATGGTGAATAGAGAGTAAAGGGTTTTAAAATAATGTAAAGGATTTATATAAAATACTTAAATAATCTTTCTAATTAACCCCATGAAAATATTTTTTGGAATAGTCATAGTGATTATATCAATCAGGTTTTGCAGAAATAGTTGGACTTTAAAAAGTTAGTATGAATAAAAATCATATATTTAGGCAGCATATCTTCATTAAAACAGGTTTCATTGAATAATATAGACAGTGTATATAGTATTTATTTATTTTTATACTGATCCTTTCCAGTTCTCTAATCAGTTTCTTGATGTCTATATTTCTGAGATGAGATATTGTAACTATTTACATTTTTCGAACTTTATTGTCATATTCACAATATTTCAGCCATTGTATGCTCCAGCCTTCTTCAGGTGATATATGTTGGAATTTTGAACCTAACCCTTTATTTAGTCCACTGGGTTGTTCTATTTCCACATGTCATACCTTTTCTGGATAGCTCCCTTATTTCCCTTTAGTAACTCAACTCTCCAAGTTTTTGTTCACCTCTGCTGTGGTCAGGTATTGAACTCACAATTCTTTAGGTCAAGTCACTGAACTAGTTCAACCAATGGGCCACGTGTCCTTAAAATTTTAAAATAATTACAGAGCACCTTCACCGGTGTTTTTTTTAAAAAATCATCAACACAATGGAATGCAGATTTTATTGCAGTTACAATAAGTTTGTCTTTGTAATTCACTCATGAAGATGATCTTGGAAAAGACTGAAATACTCAGGTTAGAAAAAAACTACAGCACCTTCCTTGATGAATTTCATCTTAACAGCAAGAAACTAAGTAAAGAACAGAAAAAGATCAGTATAAAAATAAATAGATACAATATGTCTATATTATTCAATGAAACATGTTATAATATATATATATATATATATATATATATATATATATATATAGTGCCTTAGATTGACTTGGCCACATGAGACCTCCTGAGCAAACAAAGCCTGAATAGTGCATTTAAATATACATACCTGCTCTATTTTGTATCCAAATATAAACAAAGATAATTTTTTAGGAAATGGATTCAATATGACAGATATTTTCTAACAAGATTTCTTGAATATTCAAGCCAGGAGATGTAAATAAACAAATATACTGTTTAATAAATAAAAACAGAGCATCTACTCAAATAGAAGTATCCATTTAAAAAAAAAACAAAAAACATTTAAACAAATAAATTAAAAAATCTGTTGAATTTAATCCATTTCCATTTATGTACATTTTAAGAATCAGGAAGAGGTGTGTTCACAATAAATCTATATAGGCTTCTTGGCACCAAACAGGTAGAACCATGGTAACATTTGTGACATAAACAGACTTTTTGCAATTTCCATTAATTCCTGTATCAGATATGCAACAACACCTGTAGACTCTTGATGTGTTGGCTAGTCATTTTGGTAGTAATGGTATTAGAAAAAACACAACTTCTTGTTCTGACTGTTGTAACCCTCATTTTCTTTGAATGTAGAATAACAAGAGAAAAAGTGGGAATAATGTTCCTTTATTTTTAATTGTCTGATCACTTTTAATAGTGTGAGTTACAGCAACTATGCTTCAAAGAACTGGGTATTTGAAAAAGCAGTAAAAGATAACCTGATTAAATACTAGCATGAATCATTGCTGTTATAAATCTATTCCTGGCCAAATTCTCATCAGCACCTTGCTCAGTCACATAATTCTGCAATGTATGTCTTCTGTTAATCAAATCAGCCATATGATGGCCCTCTTTAATTGCATCATATTGCTGAATTTATTACACAGAAGGAAAAGAAAAAATGGAAACATTAAGAATATTCCTATTTCACTGAGGACAGTAATGGAAAAAATTGTTGTATATCGCATAATATCAGAACTAGTTAAAGAAAATAAAAAACATGTCAAAGAATTGAATGAATAAATAAATTAGTATAATTCACAAATATTCAAAACAAATAAAATTAAAAAATAAAACTTTAATAATTAAATCAGATTATTATATACCTGTTGAAATGCAGCAGTTGGTTGTGCACAGCTTGTCTGTATCTGAGTAGGAGCTGTACTATTACCATATAAGATTTGTCGAGGTGTTCCAGGAGGAATTTCTCCAAGGGCTTCAGGTGCAGTTTGTTGTTGCTGAGTCATATTGACGGAAGCTAACTGTTGTGACAACTCAGAAATATTACCAGAATCCTAAAAAGATATGTTTTTAGTAATCATTACATTTTTTAATTTCAATACATATATCTTAATATAATCACCTCATTAACATATTACAATTATTTGATTTTGATAATTATTATTTCAGATCATAATACAATTTTAAGTGATGATTAATGCAACTAATATTTTTACTGCTATTTCATTTCAGTCTTTTTTGTTATTCTTGTTATGGTGTCCTGTCTCTTGTGAGAAAACAACTTGAAATCAAAGCAATAAAAAAAAATGAGAGAGAGAGAAAAAAAAAGAAGAATTTGACCTTGAATAAAGCAAACTCTTATTATCAATAGCTAGGTTTTGCCACAATTCAATGTCAATAGGAATGTGGTAAATGTGCATCAGTACAGATGCAAAAGAGGCCCTGGATTGCATGCAGACATATCTGTCAAAACAACTTAGCAGCAGAACAGCTTGGAATGTTCATATATGGGTCTCTCTGCAACTTGTCTATATCTGGATTTCTGTCAATAAAAGTGACAGGAAAACCAACAGTCAGCGGTGGGAAGTTGGCAAGACTCAGTATCTTGTGAAGTATGTTCTGGGAGCATTTTGTCTCTAAAGTTGCTGCCTCTTCCAAGGCAGTGTTATTTTTTTACCTCCTGTCACTTTCCTTTCTCTGCCTATTACCCCTGTAGTGGTTGGGAGATCAATCGATTAGGCATTTTCCCAACCTAAATACACGTTTGCCATATTTTACAAGGAGAGAAATCCAGTAGAAAGAAACCTTGAAAGATCATAACAGATTTTCTTCTTAACAACTGAGCTGTGACATTATAACCTTGTTTTTGTAGATTTTTTTCCCTTCTTGAGAGAACAGTCAAATTTCTCTCAACAAATCAAATTGTTTTATCAAGGATCTAATTCAAGGGACATATGTGGTAAACTGCAGGAAGTGGGGATATATAGTCAGCAGAGTTTAGCAATCATTAAAATTACAAGTAAACTCATGTATAGGAGTATGTCTTAATATTATATTTATTTAAAATGCTCAAAGTTTATTAAGGAAATTAACAAGAAATAAACTCCAAGGCTCAAAATGCACCACTGGAAGTTTATTAAAAAAGTTTTATTGTAATAAAATAATATTTTGGTTCTAGGTCCTACCTTTATATATAGATATACACATGTTTTTAGTCAGGGGTAGGTATTTTTTAGTTAAAAATGGAATTCAAGTAAACACTAATTGTTGGAGAAATCATTTTAATGAAACATTTAAACAAATTAAAAAAGTATTTCTTACAGGATACTGTCGAGTATCCATCATAAACTGATGTTGAGAAAAAACTGGAGCTGCAGGATTAAATGAAACTGATGCTGGTAGTGTTTGGTTGGGGTTATGCCTGTAGATGGTTCCATCAGCATTTAAATAAATTTGACCTAGATAAAAAGAAATTAATATCATCATTTAAATCAATAAATGAATGAATGAAAACACTTTTCCATTTGAACAATAGCCAAAGGGCCTAGAGATGGAGACTTAGCATTTTATCTTTGTTGATTTGAAAAAAAAATCAGCATTGACTGGCAAGATTTTTATCAATTTTTGAGAGATTCATTGATTAAAGCATAGAACATGTAGTAAAAATTATTTATCCCATCAAAAATGTATTAGAGCTAAGAGTATTATTTGAAACCTATTGGCAAAACCTATATGCTAAAATTGGGAAACTAAAAAGAGAAAAGTTTTAACACTAACTGGCATTAATAATTACTGTCAAAACAGGGTGACATGAATATGATAAAACAATACAAAAGTTTCTATAATAAAAATCACTGTGATATCACATATAAAAAGAGTAAAATAAAAAATAAAAAAAAGTTCCTTTGTAGTGGTGAGTAGCAGTATAAGACAAAAATGTGTTCAAATAAAATGCCAGTTTCAATTTTCTATGATTACAAAAGATTACGGGGAAACAAAGTACTGAATAATATTGAGAATAATACTAAAAAGAAGGTGGGTGATGACACCTTGTTAGAGAAGTGTCATAGATCCTGTGTTATATGAGTTTTAAGTGGTAATTTTGCCTTAAATTTCTAAAATGCAATATGTACTCCATATTTAACATCAATAAAATATTAGTTTTTATGAATATACCAAACATGAAAAGAACTGGTAATAATTGCAAAACTGATGCATCAGATTTAACTTTCATTGATTTTATAACACGGGAAAAACGTTCTTTAGTATAGTTCTTTTACACAACATAAAAAAGAAGCTTATTTCCACGTGGAAAATTTATCTTGACTGAAAAATGTTCTGATGCTCAAAACAAATGACAGCCCATTAAGTTGACAGGACTTCTAGGTACACCACATTAACCCGAAAAACAACCAACATAGGAAAAAGGAAAGGAAGAGGAAAGTCAAATTGAGGAAAAAATTTTGAAAGATTGTCTTTGAGACATGTTGATAGCCATAGCAAACGTGAGTGTCACTGGGAATTAAAAATGCTTTAATTCAAAGCGCAAGTCTGTTGGAATTACAGGATTCTCAGGAAAATCCTTTTTGTTTATACCAATTAAGATAGTTGCCTTGATGAAAGGCTGTTTGGTAGCTATGTGAGTTCCTTTTAGAAGACATAAATTTCTGAGAAGTATGAGGGATGTCTGAATTTTTAGTTGAAACCAGTAGGAAGGAACACCATGCAATCCAAGAGAGTTTAGGAACTCAGTTGGATTCTGGTCAGTCTCCAAAGTGATGGAAACCATGTCAATTGATTTGTACTGGTGAACTTTTCTAGAAATCCGTTGCCAACAACTTGAAATTTATTTCTTCAATTGCATCATTCTTTGGAAGAACATTGCTTTTCTCACAGATCCATTTCTGAAATTTTAGGTCATTGGGGTCTTGCAGTTATAAAAAAATGGATCCCTGAAACTTTCTGTTTGACTGTGATATTTAAATATACAAACATACAACTTCAGCATAATAATATAGTTCTTTTTTTATTTACTTTTATAGTCAGAGTTGCTTAAAAATATATATGAGAAAGATCAGTAAGCATTATATTCAATGTATGTAAATTTGCTAATATATATATTATATATATATATTATATATATATATATATATATATATATATATATATATATTTATATCTTAAATACACTATTGAGAACAACCATTTCTGAAATAAAACTTTGATTCCAAACTTCAGTTATAAAATCAGCCATTTTGAAGTACAATAGAATAAATTAAATGTATATAACAATTTTTTAAAGATACATAAGAGGGTGATAAAAACTTTCTACTTGAACCCACTTCCCAAAACCTTTTTTATGAATCCACTCTTAGTCCAACTGAGAACTTTTCAGCATCCCCTGTATATCATTAAATACTGTTCAGTCACAGATGATGAAACATGGATAAAAGAGTACTTACTAAATAATACAATATTCATAAAAAACATAAAATGCTATATCGAGAATACCTCCTTAGTTGTTGAAAAATGCTTTCTTGTAAAGCAAAAATACAAAATTATTTCTTTGATGTCTTTCGATTCCAATTATTCTTTACCATTGTCATGAAAGGAAGTTTGTAATTTTAGCATTAATGATTCTACTTTCTAGTGAACAACAGTTCACTAGAAAGTAGAATCATTAATGCTAAAATTATTCAAAATACATAGACCAGTACAAATTTCCTTTCATGAGAATGTTCTTTTAATAGAACAATTATGATTTTTTTTCTGAATTCATCTTTTTTCCCCTCAAAGAAACTCAAAAACAAACTAAAATTAGTAAATAATGATTGTCTAATTTAATAAGTTGATCAAATTGAATAATTAAATGATTTTTTTTAATAGAATGTCTTGAGTGAAATATTTTTAGTCTGTTGCTGATCTTGTTCTTTGGATTATATTGTTCTCATATCTTATTGAATCCTTTGGTATTACCACTTTCTTATTTTTAATTCTTGAGATTGCACTCATTTCCTCAGTACCATCAAACTAATTTCTTTTTTTTATCTCTTCTGCTGTTTGAAGGCTTTCAAATACTCAGCCCTTTTACATTTATACTGCTTGCTGGCTTTCCTCATTGTTAAGGATGAAGACAAAACTAGTATTCAAAGAGTGGAGGTACAATGGTTTATGTGTGAAATGTTAGTTCCATTTGAAAAGTAGTACTGCCACTTCAAGCAGAGGCTAAAAAGAGTCCAACTAGAAGGAACTGCCAAGGCTACTGATTCAGGTGTAAGTAGTTTTAATGTGGCTTGTGCATAATAATATCAGGTGGAAGAATAGTTTCTAAAACTTTTATTCTACAAACTTCAAGACAGGATGTGTTCAGTGTTCCTGGAGTTGGTTTTACATTGGCAGAGGTTGATGGAGAACCTCTCCATTAAGTATAATTACTTCAAACAGGTTGAAGTTGAAGAATCAACTTCTTAGACACTAGAAGTGCACACCCAAAAGTGGTTAGATTTCAATTTGACAATGGTCTTGATTACATTAACATTAATCAATAACCAATGGTATACAGCTGGTTAGTTTTTAACTTTCCTTCAAAATCTCAGGAACAAATGACAAGCTGACAGACACTCATTTTTGCTAAATCACTTTTCTCTCAGAAACATTTCTTTTTTTGCTATCTTATGGACATAAGGAGAAATGACACTTAGCCAAAATAACATTTGAATTTTTTCGTATTGTATTTTTTGCCAATTGTGTTTTTCCCAAACCTTTATAATGAAACATATGGTCAATATAACAAGTGCAATCCAGCCATTCCTCAGATGAAAAAGCTATGTATCACTGGATCTTATTCTACAAGTAAATCCTGAATTATTTCTAAGTTCAAATCATCAGCTTACTCTGTGCCAATTATTTCATTTCTCTAACTTCATTTTTTAGCTTATTTTCTTGTTTTTGAGATCTCTTGTGTCATATCCTTGTCTATGAGCTTCTATTTTTTCTATTTTCAGTTTAATTTGCTTTACCAACCACATTGGACAAATTGGATACCACAGTTAGATTGCATTCTTTGAATTGTGTCTTCTTGCACCCACTTTAATAAAATACTTTTTTAAAGTACTGGCTAAGATACTTGGATTAATAATGGGAGTTTTAAATTATGCTATGTGGACTGATTGCTTTATTTTCTGAATATTTCAGAAAGGTTCTGAATTAATTATACTTTGTTCCATGAAAGCAGTGATCATTTTTCTTTCTATGTGTGATCTATAAAATTTGATTTTGTTGTCTTGAGGCAACAGTTTTAAAATTTTTTATGTTGCAACTGCATGTACAACATGCAGTTTTAGGTTATATATTTATCAAATAAAGGCATAATTTTTCTTAGGTATTTGAAAACCTGTACTGAACAATATTTTGTTATACAGTTTTTTTTATTTTTTAAAGTCTATTAGAAAATCCTGATGTTATATAAGCATGTGGTAGCTATATTCATGGAATACATTCTATATATAACCTTATACAGTTAAGTATATAGATTGCAACATAAATATCGGTATTGAAGGAACACTTTCTTCAATATTGTGAGTGTAGATTTTTTTAACACAGAGATATTTTGTACTTGTAATTTGTGAAAGTTAAAAGAATGTAAAAAAAAAAAAAAATCAGGATAAACAGTACAGATGGTCAAAATGAATTCATAATATCTAGGGGTACTGGTGCATTTTCCAAATGTAACTAGAATTGTTGATGTTTATGAGGATTTTTTAATTAATAAAGTTGATTAAAGACATGAAAAAATATCAAAATATATCAACTTTAAGAGACATTTATTTTTCTAGGATTGGACAGTTAGTAAAGGCATGCTCAATGGCAATTACTCAACGTATAATGAAAACCCAAGGAAAATACACAATCACTCTATAAGATCTCATACTCCACAGAAGTAAAGAAAGCATCAGATTTTGTTGGATAGTATATTGTTGGAAAGAGCTAGTGTCAAAATTGTTAAAACTGAATTCAACTGTGTGAAAATGAAAGAAAAAGAAACTAATATATCTTATTTAGGTCAACTACAGCCATCAGTGTTGTTTGATGAAATGAGAAATTGAAAAAAAAGTTTCTTTTGGAAGCAGGGAGTATAGTAAATTGTGGCAAAATCAATATCAAAACAGCATGATAACTTTAGTATATAGGTTATAGTGTCAAAATAGTCTGCAGGAAGTAACTTTAAAAAAATAAAAGTACATATTCACCAGAGAAAGCAGTGGACAATTGAGAAAACACGCAGAGGATTGTAGCTTAGGCATCTTTTCAAGTGAATCTTTTTTGAGTAGTAGAAACCATTTTGTTTGAGCTGCCTGTAGTCCATTACCAAACATGGTAGATTTTCAGTTAGTGTGGCAGTGAATGATTTGGTACATTGATTGTTCAAAATTCTGGAATATGTGGGTAATATCAATTC